ATAAAAAGGCCGCTAAAATCGACATCTCGGTCAATTTTCACATCGTGGGAATCCAGGTACAACTATGATATTTTAATATGTTGTATGGATGGATAAGAGCTGTTACCTGGTACAATATGAAAGTTGTACTACCCTTTCTTGAACCTTAGGCGCGGCGATTCATCGATTGTTTGACGTTTTTGACACTTTGGGACCAATTTTCTTGGAAATTTGGCAACGTAGGAAAAAATTTTACTGAACATTTTTTATTCATTTTTTTACGTACTTTTCAAAAGTGTACACAGTTTTTGGATTAAATTAAGTTTCGAATGTGTTAAATGGAAAAAAACCCTAAAAATGGGCCAAAAATGGCAACAATGGGCCAAAAGGTCCCTTAAAATTTATCGGAGGCATTTAAAAAGGCTAGAAACGGAAAGTACGCAAAAAATACATAGGAATCATCTGCTGGAAGAGTGATAACAGTCGAGAAAGTTGACGAAAATAATTATTTTTCGATTCCAGGATTTTTTGTTTGAGGCGCTGCTGCGCCCTTGCATGGGCTCCGTTCGGTCTAATATTTGACACAGAGTCTACCTAAGACTAGTACTTTGAAAATATGAAACATTTAGCAAAATCCAGGTGGGGCCGGAAAAGGCCCAAAACGATACTCCTCNGGGGGGGGGGGGGGGGGGGGAGGAACACCACCTTGTTAAATCTGTACAGTGTATCAACCCCGATGATGATGTAACTTACTTTCCTGTTTGTGAATGAGTTGGGCTTATTCAAGAAAAAGACCAGGTTTGTCAAAAGCCTTTGCAGAGGTATTTTGTTTGATTCAATAATTATACATTTTACATATAAAAACCTTTATACGACATAGCTATCTGCGATCATGAATGTGCTAATACTTGTTGCTAACAAGAGATGGAACCGATGAGATTCGGAACCCTGACTGCTCAAAGAAACGGAGAAAAATCTAAGTTACTAAATTATTATACGAGACAGACACTTAAAAAAATAATTTACACTAACTTTTATCATAATCAATTTAATGTACATAGTTCCGTTTGGCAGAAATACGTCCATATTATGATTGTGTAAACCTAGGGCCAGGGAGGGTAGTATAGATAAGTAGTATATAATCAGTGTAAATTCAAGCTTGTGTACATAAAATATTTTTGTGATATGATGATTCGATTTTTCAGCCCCTTATAAATCAGGAAGGAATGTTGACCTATCGAAATCTCAAAATTTTCGACTCTATTGACATTTTTAAACTTTCTGGCTTTGTTTTCCCTGCGAAATGGTCCTAATGGTCGAAATGGACCTAACTCCATTTTACCACCTTATCTAAATCCATACAGTGTATCGACACTAATGGTTCCCGGATTTTTCGGCACGGGTGGTTTTCATCGTATCTGGCAAGTTTAATAATTACCTCTCTCTTGCCTCTCCCTCTTTGATGACAAACAAAAAAGGAGACACAAAATTATTTAGGGCCACAGCCCAGTCACTTCCAGGAATGTCTCCAGCAGTCCCAATCCTGATTGATTTCGAAAAAGCAGTGAGAAATTCCATTAAAACTGTATTTCCAGAGTGTTTAGTCAGAGGGTGCTTCTTTCATTTTAGTCGAGCTAATTGGCGGCAAATTCAAAGTTTGGGTCTACAGCATTGGTATGCACAGGACCTAGAGTTTGCCCTTGAAATTCGTCAACTTACAGTTATAGCATTTGTGCCTGTGGTAGCGGCCCAGGCAACGTATGATATGTTAATAAACAGTAGACTTTTTGGGAAAATGCTTCTGAGTTGTAACCCCTTCTTGACCACTTTGAAGACACTTGGCTAAGTCGAGTTGGCAGGCGAGAAAAGCGGCCCAATCCTCTGTTTCCAGCGACCATGTGGAATTGGCCGAGCTGGTGAAGGCCCGGGCGGGAAAATCCGAGCTCCGACCCTCAAGATGATGTAACTTCCTTTCCCGTTCGTGAATCTTTAATATCGTACCATCAGTTGTTTTGACAGGCGCCCGAGCAATCTATCTTTGATCGTAATTTTTCCGCTTCCTCAATTCAGCAACATGATTCTTGAGCTCCTTGATTTGCTGCTTTCTTCTAATACTAATCTGAAACAAAAAGAAAAAGTAAGTATCGTAAGAATTATTTTCGCCAATTTTTTTGGTGCGTCATTTGAAATTATATGGTGAGCAAAGCTATTCCATGTGATAAATGCAGCATAGAAAAAAATTAATTGCTACAATTAAAGAATTTTTCCACAGCATGGGATGAATTCAGCGATTGAGATACTGGCATGTCGAGTTATGATCCAAATCGACCCGAAGTGGATAGAGAAAAGGTACGGGACTTAGTGGCTGCGCTTTAAACAGTAACTCTGATCCTGAGATATGGGCATTCGAGCTCAACTTGTTCGTGGCAGGGGCATGGCGTGCTTTGCAATACATCGATTGGTCTGCCATTTAAACTGAGACTAGAGAAAATGATCGATGAACAGGGTGTTCGCAAGGAACACCTTCATAATCGATTCTTTATTGCTGCCTCAAATGAGGAATTATCGGTAATCAATCATTCACCCTTCACCACTGGTTCATGGATTTTCCCACTGCAGCAATTGATGAGATTTTTATATCAAGATGTTCCCTGAACGCATCTTCAAGACTTGATAGTTGTTTATCAGCTGTTCATTCAAGCTCCCTTCTTCTCTAACTGATTGTATATTATTTATACCTGTTCACATGTTAACGAGATAAAATGGTAGGATTCAGAACATTTATAATACTAATTTAGTAATACGAGTTCCAGTTTAATTGTTGCAAGTATGCAGTATTATTGAGTAATTTTACGACACATATTACTATGTTACTGTGGTAATCGTGTGTAGTTCACTGTACAATCAAGGTACGGAGCAACGGAATTTCGACAACCTAAGCAATGGCATGGGGTTGGTCAAAAGAGACTTCGGCAATTTTAGGTCTCATTTTTTCGGCTCACTTCAAAATTCTTGATCGAAAATTTTTTGGTATAAGGGTGCATAACCACGTATTACCTTCTTCTTCTCCTCCTCCTTTTTTGGTACATTATCTTACCATTAACATTAACATTATCTTAGTAAGTTGAAAATTAGTTCAACATTGCGTTTTCAAGTCCCCAAATTTCGAGCATAGTTCCAAAAATGAAATTTAAGGTGATTCAATTCAACCATTTAATCATTTTTTTTTTTTTAAACTTTGTTCGAAATTTGGGGACTTGAAAACGCAATGTTGAACTAATTTTCAACTTCCTAAGATAATGGTGAGGAAAAGTAAGGGGAAATGGGCTCATCTCGCGAGAATATCGTATGACCTTTAAAATGACGTATTTGGGGGTCCGAAACCCCCCTTAAAATTAGTTTGAAGTAATTTCTGTGATTTTTACTTGAAGGTGCTTACAATTTGGTAAATGTTCCCGTTTTATTTTTTTCTTTACGATAAGAGCTTGATGCAAAAACGGCCTTTTTCGCCCCCCCTCCCCCCCCTCTAGACTTTCTTCAGACTTTGTCTATTGATTACTCGTACTTGAGCGCTTCTTTCCCCAAATTTTCAGATCCCCAAAAAATTTTGGGGGGGCTAGGGGGGGTGGAAGTCAAAACCTGTGAACCTCGATACCTCTCGAACGAAGAAAGATATCGAGGTCCGGTTTGGACGAAAAATCGTCTAAAATTGCGTACTTTTAGATTCTGAAGGTCGAAAACCCGATATCACATTGTTAAGTCAACATATGTGCTTCCTTCCAGTATTTAGGTCTAGAAAATTTCTTTTAAACGAAAAATTTACAAAAATCTCAATTTTTTATTTGAGCCAAAACCAGTTTTTTAAATTGTTCATCTTTTTCCGCATCCAACGAGTGGTCCATTAAGCTGGGGAACCAAACGGTTATCGAGTTATGATCGATTGAAGTTTCCGCTCAACGCGCGCCGACCGATTTTCGCGCACCAAAAAGTCGGATTTGACTGTTATTAAATCAGATTGAATGTTCAAACTGAGCAAAATGCATTATTAGGGACTCTTAAGGGTCGCTGAGTTCAGAGATTACAGATAATTCCAAATAATTCACGTTTTTAAAATTACGGATCCGTACAGGACTACTGACCGGCCGGTCGGCGCTCAGTGGGCCTCTAAAATAGCGCTACGTTTCCCGTGAAGACCAATTTTGTAGAAAATTAGCTGAAAACCCTACCTCGAAAAGGCCGCCATGGATACCAGGGTGGTCAAAAAAAAATGAAGAAAATGGGTTTTGAGCTTCTATTGGACAAATAAACTAATATCGAAAATATAAAAAAATCGGGATTGGTCGCGCAACAGTCCCTGAATGATTTCCCATGGGATGACCCATAGTAAGTAGGAAGAGATCAGCATCTTTAAAAATAAATGCATAAGAAAAAACATGCGAAACGACTTTTCTTAGCAGAAACTGTTGTTGCCCTTTCCTTTGCTAGCAGACTGACTACCGTCAGTCGCACGGTGGGCCAGATCGTGTCCGTAGCGGCGCTGAATTCATAACTCCCGCTAGATCAGACATATCGTTCAAAACATGATGATTCTTAGGGTAATTTGATCTGTTCTTGCCACATGTTGTGTCAAAAAAGCCGGCAAAAATGTCTAAATGTAGGTTTTGAACGTCGAAAGTCAAAGAAATTGTTCCGTAAAAAAGAGGATCTTGAGCCTCTCATAAAATGGGGGGAAAACACAATCATCGAACAGAAAAATGTAATCTTATCATCTATCCTTGTAATTCTATTGAAAGTAGAATATTTTCGCTTTTGTAGATCCCAAAATATTGATTTTTAGCAGCAGGGCATGAGATCAAAGTTGCCCGAAAAAAAAGCCTTTAAAAATTAATTTTTCAGAATATTGACTGGGAAAGTGTCATTGCAGTTCGTTGCGCGGTTCTCTTTGGTATTTTTAGAAATTATAAATCCCAGAGATACCATATACCAAAGCACAGTCAGTACAAACCGGTACAACCATATTTTTCGGATACTTTTTTGAGGTGACCTCTAATTTCCGCGAAAATCGGATGTAGGGGTTTTAAGGAACCACGGTACACAGTAAAGCGGCCAATAAGATATTTCAACACAAATTCATGTTTTAAGGGTTTTTAGGGTTTCTAATAGCATTTCTCGCTCTTTAAATGTTTTAGGGTTGAAGGATGGAGAGGGGGAGGCCGACCAAAATCAGACAGTCAAAAATTTGTTATGGTCAACAATTTTCTTGAGTTCAGTAAATGATGATAATCTTTCTGCATCCGTTCACACATTCAGCCTAAATAGGACTGGTTTTAAACCAATTTGGCAATGAATATGAAAATTGTACCATCACATGGCACCTAGGTTTAGAGTAAGTTCACTGATACTGATATAACTGATGAAATGTCAACGTCACTGTTGAACTTAAAGTAATGCAATATCGCACGATTGAAGTCGCTCTGAGAACTAAATATTGACCTCTTTAAATACAGCTATGCCTAATTTAGTGTTAAACCCCTTTTAAAGGCTATTGTCATTGTATAAATAATGTGTTATTTTCGGTAAGTAACGGTATCCTGAGCTGTGTACGATATTGCGTTTTTTTCATACCATCATTAATGTTTAATCGCATTAGCAGAATTCGATATAGATTCCTCCTCCACCTCTAAGATATCACCTTCGAGCACGCAAGAGTGCATAGATTACAGTTCAACAGTGAAGTAGAAGTTGACATATTTCATCAGTTACATCAGTATCAGTGACGGTCAACTTACTCTAAACTTAGGTGCCATGTGAGGGTACAATTTTCATATTCATTGCCAAATTGGTTGAAAACCAGTCCTGTTTAGGCTGAATGTGTGAACAGATGTAGAAAGATTATCATTATTTACTGAACTCAAGAAAATTGTTGACCATAACAAATTTTTGACTGTCTGATTTTGGTCGACCTCCCCCTCTCCATCCTTCAACCCTAAAAAATTTAAAGAGCGAGAAATGCTATTAGAAACCCTAAAAACCCTTAAAACATGAATTTGTGTTGAAATATCTCATTGGCCGCTTTACTGTGTACCGTGGTTCCTTAAAATCCCTACATCCGATTTTCGCGGAAATTGGAGGTCACCTCAAAAAAGCATCCAAAAAATATGGTTGTACCGGTTTGTACCATTTGTGCTTTGGTACGTGGTATCTCTAGGATATGTACTTTCTAAAAATACCAAAGAGAACTGCGCAATGAACTGCAATGACACTTTCCCAGTCTACAATATTCTGAAAAATTAATTTTTAAAGGCTTTTTTTTCGGGCAACTTTGATCTAATGCCCTGCTGCTAAAAGTCAATATTTTTGGGATCTGCAAAAGCGAAAATACTTCTCATACAATGGATTTTACCAGTCAGATTCATATAATGGTGTGAGGTTCACGAGTGCACTGTGAAATAGGTGAGTTTACAATGAGCGCCTCAGGTTGTAGAAATCTGGGTTCATCACATTCCACATGCTGCATATCTATCTACGTGCACTAAAAAAAAAGACGTACTATTTTTAAGTTAACGCGTTGTCGCGGATTTTTTACTATTTCGAAGGCGGGTCCGCCTTGGGGTTTCTCAATGTAGGCATTCAGAATTGTCTTGGAAAAAGAAAGTCCTATTTTGTTGAATTAAATCAACGGCGTTTTAAAATAAGCGATCGTGGACTTGAATGAAGAAACCTGTTTCTTGAAATTAGTAAACGGGGACAACGCCCTCAGAGCACCGTCAGTTTCCTTTTTTCAACTACTTAGCTTGCTGGAAAGAGGAAAAAACGTTTCGTCGAAAGAATAAATCGTTTTCTTGAAATTAGTAAACGGGGCGAACGCCCCCTGAGATCGTCGGTTGCCTCTTTCCAAGTCAATAGCTTGCTTGATCAAATAAAACACGGTGCGTCAAAAGAAGGAATAGAATACATTAATTTTAAACTAAAAGTGAGGTTGACATTTCATTCGTTACATTGGTGTCAATCAGGGTTAACTTACTCTAAACTTGGGTGTCATGTGATAGTAGAATTTTCATCTTCATTGCCAAATTGGTTTAAAACCAGATGGATTTGTGCAGAATTTATAAATGGATGTAAAAAGATTATCACAATTTTCAGGCTCAAGAAAAGTGCCGACCATAACAATACTTTTTGCTTTCAGCTTTTGGTCAACCTCCCCCTCCCCTCCTTCCAACCCGACGTATCGGAAGTGCGAGAATTGTTGTTCAAAACTTTAAAAACATGAACTCGTAATGAAATACTTCATTGGCAGCACTTTTGTAAGATAAGGTTCCTTAAAACCCTTATGCCTATTTTTCACGGAAATTGGTGGTCATCTAAAAGAAATCTGAAAAATATGGTTCTACCCTTTCTACCATTTAAGCTTTGGTATTTGGTATCTCCAGGATGTATGCTTTCTAAAAATGTTGAAGAGAACACTGCAATGAAACGCAATGACTTTTCCCCAGTCTACAAAATGTGGAATAAAATGAACGTCTAATGTCGTTGAATGTACGAATGTGCGTCTTTTAAGACTCATTATTAGGGTCACTTTGATCTCATGTCCAGCTGGCATTTAATGTATCTTTTTTACTTTCAGCCTACGATACCTTCAAGTTATTGCATTCAACACATCTGGAAATTTTTTTAAATTTTAAATCTATTTCTACGCATTTTAGCAAGTTCAAACTTGCCTTCTTGTATTTTCTGTCTCCCCTTTTCTTCATGTTTGTCCTCCTTTTTGCTTTCTGAGGGGGCTTGAGGCCCCCAACGAAGCCCCCCCTCTGGCTACGTGCCTGGCTTACTCCATGATTTTGAAAACGAGAGCA